GAAAGTTATTAAAAAAAATAAAAAAAAATATGAAAAACAATATTTTGAAACAGGGATAAATAAATTAGGACAAAATAAAACCATTAATTCTTTTCCCTAATTGCTGTGGATTAATATTAATATTTAACTTAATTATGCTCATTTGATAATTTAAATGAAGGCAGAGCTGAACTTGCTCGGAATCATGCCTGTATTTCTCAAATACTGCATCAGGCTAATTGGTATTTATAGGAAATATTGTGCCATTTCTGGGTTACAGCTTTCTAAAAAATGCTCTCAGAATGTTAAAAAAAGTGTGATTGGAAGGGGAGAGCCTCACTGACATGCGCAAGAGATATCCCAGGTACACTAGCTGATCCGATCACAGTCAAACTCAATTTAAGCTGAGGGAGCTTTGGTGTATCAGGTGAAACTTCACCTGTGTTACTCCGCCACCGGATAACCTGAATCAAGGCTTTGCGGCCTATAGGTGTTGGAAATTGGGAAAGGCGGCCACTTTCCTTGCTCTTCAGTTGGCTGTGAGGAATCAACATATTGCTAACCCCCAGACCAGTGGGGTTATCCCTGTCCCCACTGGACTGTGTCACCAAAGTCCTTTATAACAAGGAGGATTACTCCCAAAAATTTCTTGCTGGAAAGGATTGGAGACACACAAGATGGTGGCCCTGCTTGCTACTGTAACACAGGGCTGGATGCAACACCAAGCCGACCCGGCAAACCTGCACCATCAAACTATGGATAACCTGGAGGCGATATTCAACCACTTTTAGGTGACTCTGATGGAGTACACAAAGCTAGAGACTGCAGCAAATCCAACATTGGAGGGGGAGTGGAAGAGCCACCTAAGAGAGGTTTGGGAGGCCCCTCACAGGTGACTTGCCTCCAAAAGCTAATGTCACTGCTCTTTTGGGCATATCTGGGCTTGGGGTTCAACCCCCAATGCATCAGCCACACAAGCTGGGGACTGTAAGATGCAAGCAATGACTTGACACCCAAGCATGGAGCCTTCTGCATTTTCCTGGATGGGAAGAACTTGAATTCAGAGAGTCACTTAGTATTTGGCAGGAGGTGCTGGCTCTTCACCAGGCTGTGGGCAGGAGTGGTACCCCACCTTGGCACCACTTTATAACCCATATGGAATGTGCAACCCCCCGAGACATAAACCAAGACAGGACATTAGATGACAGTCATTTCTTTCCTTCACTCTTAGGTTCTGGACTGCCCTGTGGTCACTGAGACTCTTTTCCTCACAAAAGCTGCAGATCTCCTCCTATGATTCATATTACTCATGGTTTTGGTCCAAGTGGCATATAAGCAACCTTACTCCGAGCACACTCTGTTATGTTTTTCTTTTACTCTTGTAGTAAATTTATTTTGCTTATATTTTATATTGTTTTATTTAGTTCCTTTTTATTTATTACTGGCATTTATACAGTGCCAACATATTCCACAGAGCGACACTATAGGGAAAAAGACAATGCAGTATAAACAGACCAATACAAAATGCAGAGCGCCATGCACGTGACACGTGAGCTTACAATCTACAAATACTCACCTAACGTGTTCTAAGCTAGTCAATAAATACATAAAATGTGTAATTATAATTCAGCATGTAACAGGGTGGGTGGTAATTTAACCTATACTATATCTGTTATTGTATGACTATTTTTTCTTACTTGGTATTAACAAATCATCTTCCCAATGCAAATTCTATCGTGACCCACATTGTCTTTAACTGTACAACTAAAATAAAAAATAAAAAAAATAAAAAATAAATTGTGATTAATTCTGTCATGGGCCAAGGGTTGCAAAGGTAGTGGTTACTCTTGCTTGGGTGGGAATTTTACAAGGGGCATTTGTTGTTTCATGTTGTTGGAATTATATGGACAACATTGAGCTGATGTTTGTTTTGGTGGGGCTTGGAGGGTTGTTTACAGCAAAAAAAAACCATGAAGTTTTGGGAAAAGGACTTGATAGGGAACTGTATTTACTGTTAATTGCCCTATTGTTTGCAAATGACCGTTCGTGGGCATAATTACCTCTGCACAGCTGCAATAAAGTCAGTTCTGTCTAACCCCTACATTTAGTCTAGACTTATGGTGTGGGGTAAAGGCTATAATCACTCCTACAAACACCTGCTATATTTCACTTCCATATACTGCTCAGAGTACTTTGAGATGGACATCTGAGTGCTCCAAATACTTCGGCTCAGCAAGGCAATACAGGATAGTCCGAAAATAGCCTAGGAAGCCGAGAAGTAATAGAATGTGAATGTGATGGCAGATAAGAACCGTTTGGCCCATCTAGTCTGCCCAATTTCTAAATATTTTCATTAGTCCCTGGCCGTATCTTATATCTAGGATAGCCTTATGCCTATCCCACGCATGCTTAAACTTCTTCACTGTGTTAACCTCTACCACTTCAACTGGAAAGCTAATGGGGGTACTTAGCCAGAGTACCCACAGGCAGCTACAAATTCATATACATTTTTTTTAAATCTATTTATTCTGTAGCTTTGCTGTCTTATTATGTGGACATAGCAGTAGATAAGAGACAAGCCTATAATGGACAAGGGGAAAGAAGAGGTTATTGAGGTACCTGCTTGAACTTGCTTACATATATTATGTATATTAACCCTGATAAAACGAACACAGCTCAATATACTAGATACAAGTTTATTCTGAAAAGATCTGAAGAACCATTTTGATCTTCTGCAGAGCTGGTACTCAGACTGATTGACAGCTAATATGATATATCAGTGTCCGTGCTTCCGATAACCTCAGCCTCTATAAACCCTTGGCAGCTTACAGTTTCTGTGTGTTGGTTAATTGAAGGGAAGTAAACTGTTCCAGTTGAATAAGCGCAACACGTTACGGATATTATATAACACATATAACGCTTTTCCTAGATTTGGATTCTCAAATGTTGCAGAAAACATTTTTGGATACTTTTACATGTTTTGCAGCTTCTATAACATTTGTGAATCTGTAAATACAGTAGAGCCCCCTGCTATGGTACTGCTAGCCGCTTTGGTACTAGGTGCCATCAATATAACAATTTCTTTGAAAGTTCTATGTGTGATGAACATAAGGTTAGTTTTTTCTGGGTGGCAAATAGCCGTTCCCATGCTTTGTCAGGTCGATTGAGATTAAGCTCATGTTCCCAAGCTTGTATAAAGGAAAACTTTTTGATATTTTATTCTTTGTTTAAGCTAGCATACAGTAGCGAGATGGTTTTCGTAGCTGGCTGTTGTGTTGTCATTGCCTGTTCGAAGGTTGTCAGCCGAAGCTCACTCACATTTTTTATGACTGGCACATAGTGTTTGAGTAACCATGCCCTTACTTGGAAATATGAAAATTCAGCTGTGTTTGGCAAGTTATAATCATTTTGTAATTGTGGGAAGGGTATGATTGTTCGTCCTTGTAGTAATTGTGTTATGTTTTTAATTTGGTGCCTCTCCCACAGTCGGGAGTTAAAGTCTGGGATCAGCAGTTGTAGTGTTGTAATCATCATTTCTGGGGAGTAAACCTTTGTCCTACATAGTGTGGCTCTGTGGGATTCCCATATGCGTTTTGTCAAGGCTGTAGTGGGTAGCATTTGTATACCTTTAGGTTTAAGGGGGTGCGGGTTCCACATGATCGATAGAAAGTGGTGACCTGGAGATATGTCTGACTCTAGTGCCACCCATTGCGAGTGTTGCTCCTGGGTTTGTGCTATGATGATGGGGTTAATGTTAGCGGCACGGTAGTAATGTTGTATATTGGGGAGGCTCATGCCACCTCCCATGTGATGTCTGTACATCATGGTGACAGCCACCCTGGGTTTCTTGTGTGCCCAAATAAATTGGTTCAGTAGTGTTTGGTTTTCTGTGAAGTAGGAGGATGGTATCCCAATGGGGAGGGTACTAAATAAGTATTGATATTTCGGGAGTATCACCATTTTCACCAAGGCTACTCAGCCGGTCCAAGAGATACATTTTTTGTGCCATCCCCGAAGCAGTGTTTTCACCTGATTCTGCAATGTTACATAGTTTGCTTTGAAGAGCTGGGCTATTGAAGGTGTAAATTTTATACCTAGGAAGGTAAGGTGGTCAGTCCTCCAATCATATTGGAATTTTGACTTCAGGTATGATACACATTCGCTGGGGAAGTTGAGACTCATGGCTTGTGTTTTGGTCACATTTAATTTATAGTAGGAGCATTTGCTATAGGCCTCTAGTGTGGTTGTGAACTCTTGGAGGGAGGTTTTAGGATTGGATAGTGTGAGTAGGATATCATCGGCAAACAGTGTAAGTTTGCAAGTGTTCAGTAGGGATATGGGTAAGAGGTTTTGTCCTTTAGTGGGGGGTTTGCCTGGTTTTGGTAATGCTGTTATGTGTGCCATCAGCATCTCTTGTGGTGTAGACCCTGTCTGTAGCATAGCCTGCTAAGCATTGAGTAAGGGGGGTCCTAGTGTGCTGTAGTAGGTCTTATAGTATTGGTTCGGGAGCCCATCAGGCCCCGGTGATTTGCCAGTCGGTAGTGCGTCAATGGTTGAGATAAGTTCTTCTACCATAATGGGATTTTGTAATGTTTATTGTTGGTCCGGAGAAAGTGTCAGGAGGCGAATATGAGACAGAAAGTCGCTTTTGTCGTTTGGTGTATGTTCGTATCTTGTTTGAGGTTGTAGAGTCCTGAGTAGTACTTTGCTAGTTCGCCTGCTATGTGTTGGGGGTTGTATATTTTGGTGCCGTCTGGCTGTGTAAGAAAGTGGATTTTTGAGGCTTGTTGTTGTTGTCTGGGAGTGCTCTGGTTGCAGTGGGGTGTCGTGTATGGGGGAGCGGCGGGGAACGGGTACAGCTTTTGGGTGAGATGTAGAGCATCACATAAACCGGTATAGTAACAGTTATTTGTACAATGCACATAGTGGAGCTGCTAAGTGGATTAACAGATCCCTCAGTTAAGCTTAAGAGATACTTGCAGTACTGGGAGTCTCTGTATTTGAGGAGCAGTCCAGATTGTTCATCTTTTGTTAGTGGTTTTGTACCATTCCAGTTGAATTCTCCTATGCTGGGTGGCTGTTCGTTCATCTGGCAGGTTTTCAAGGCCCCAGGAATTCAGCTTGCGGAGACCATCTTCGGGGGAGAGTATGGGTATCATTTTCCCTTCTTTGTTAACCAGCATTTTGATATGGAAGCCCCAGGGGTATCGTTTGCTGTTCGCTCTCAGGATCTCCACAATTGGTGCAAAGTCCCTTCTTCTACGGAGTGTTGCGAAAAGCTTCACATTCAGGTAATCCTCTGGTGGTTTAGCTTTGTTCCTGCTGGCTCTGAGGATATGTTCCTTGATGTGGTAATAGTGTGCACGTAGTTATAAATCTTGGGGGGTTGTGTCTGGGCTGTGGGACCCGGTGCACGCAGTGTACTAGTAGCATGTCGGCTGGAATTTCAGGTGCGTAGGCGTGGAGGAGGCCTCTGACATAGGACTTTAATTCTGTCGATGGGACAGTTTCAGGCACCCCTCTAATGCAGATATTATTGCGCTTTGCCCGGTCTTCCAGGTCCACGAGCTTAGTTTCAGTGCATTCTAGCTTGCCTTCTAGTTCTTCCACATGACTTGCCAGGTCGTTATGCGCGGAGGTGAATTCCTCCATTTTGGTCTCGATGTGGGCCGTGCGCTTGCCTAGGTCTTTCACGTCTCTATGAAGGGATTCCATGGAGGTCTGCCATGAGGTAATTAGCTTCCAAGAGAGGTCATCTAGAGCTTTTGGGAGGTAGCTCGTAGTGAGTGTCCCCGAAGGGTCGGCTAATTCCCCTCCACACTGCGGTCTTTCTGTTCCTTCCATGCTGTCACCATTTTTATCAGAGGCCTGTTGGTCAGCAGGGTCGGGTGCTGTTTTTTGCGTGAAGTTTATTTTTTCTGCCTTGGAGGCATTCTTTTTGTTTTTGTGTTGAGACATCTTAGTCGTTGAGCCTTTTTCTGTGTTCTGTACACCAGGATGGCGATGAATTCAGAGCTCTGGAGCCGAAGCTGTGGATTATACTTCCATTTTGCTCGGCAGCTGGCCACGCCCCCCAAAAATATACACTTTCATAAATTAACCAGGTTACACCCCCCTGGCTTTCAAGCAGACAACAGGTCCTGTTATATCCTGGTTGTTTAGCTCAGTGTAGCTAAACTCAGTAAAAAGCAATAGCTCAGAGGACCTGTCTTGCAAAAACTTCTCAGTGAACTGCATTGGGAAGTCTGTGATTGGACAGTCGCAGAGAGTCTTGGCGTAGTTAGAAGGGGAGAGACTGCAAAGGCTGAACTGCAAACTTGCAAGCAGTTTTTAGATATGCATCAAAGAAAAAAATGCTTAATTATAGTGAATAGTGATTTTGTATTATTTTGTAGTTGGGCAGTAAAGTGTCCCTTTTATTGCTCATCACATACATTGAGTAAATAGGTCTTAACAGATTTAAAGAGATACTGTAGGCACCAAAACATCTTGGTGCATAGATCATGAGCTTGCAGTCTCATGGATTACTACTCTGCCATTTAGGAGTTAAATGACTTTGTTTATACAGCTCCAGTCACACCTCCTTACTTTTGACTTGCACAGACTTCCTAGACACTTCCTGAAAAGGAATCTAGATTGTTTAAGTTCCTTTACTGCACCATCTGTTTAATATAGAATGTCTTACCTCCTGCTCTGTTAATAACCTTTTAGAGCCCGCAAGAGCCTATTGTGTGTGATTAAAGTTCAATTTACAGAGCAGGATATAAAAAACATCTAAAGCAAGTTAACATCTGATGGAAAATGAAACAATTTTGTACATGTGGTTTGTGTGAGTCACAGGCAGAGGAAGTATGCATGGACAAAAAACAAAAGTGATTTACCTCCTAAATGGCAAGGGAGTTTAGCAGTAAGACTGCAAGAGCATGATCTATACATACCCCAAATTATTCTATATTTGTAAAACTCAAAGCAAACAGGCAATTCAATCAGAAAAAAAAGAAGTGTAATGTCAATTTGAAGATTGGGTTGAGTTCTAGTAGCACGATACGATAATAAAACAAGCTTTAATAAACTGATCTTACAGAGATCATGATACTAAATAATCAGTTTATTCAATGTTAGGATATGGCCTTTAATGTTCAGTTTGTGATGATATGGAATGTAATATGTTTTTGTAAAATGAAATACTTGTGAGAGCCTACAGAATTTAGAATATTTATATACTGTACTGAAATAATTATATAACATAAGTTCTTACAAAAACATTTTATAACATTAAGAGAATAGGAAAACTAGGCACTGATACTTGCATTGTCACAAACCTTGAAAAAAATGCCAAAAAAAGTTTGGAGAATAAAACTCAGATGGAATATAATTTGAAGTTAGTGATATGGTTTTAGCAAGATATGACTACTGTTATGTCATTGCAAAGTGTAAACAAAGTGATTCAATTTCATTCACTGTATTGTAACTCATCTTCGAGTGTTAAGAAGTAATGTGGGCAAATCTTTCAACTCTTGTACAATAGGCTAAAGACAGACCGGCTATACTATGAGCAGACCCTTTTGAAGTTTTGAAGTGAGTCAAGCATCAAACTAATGTTTAAATGGAAACTTGTTAAATGAACTGACATTGAGGCTGTTTTGTAACTAACACCTGTTCAGACCCCTCACCCCCACCCCACCTTAACACCATGTTTCCGTAAGGTATTCAAGGTATACTACAGACAGACAAGATTTAAGAATAAGCTTAGCATCTTCATTTTTTTTGGACAATTTTCCTAAACAAATGCATTTTCCTGCAGTTGCAGTTGAGTAGTATATGCTAGCAAAAAAAAAAACTAATATGGTGATTGAGCTTCAATGCCACATTGTTTGAACTGTGTTAGCGGTATTGGCACACCATGAGAGTTCATAATTCACTACGGCAATACATTTGTATACAAAAACTTCATCACAAGGAGCTCTGAACACAGTGGGAAGAGGTTGCAGTCTAAATATAATTTAAATAACACCATCTAGTAATATGCTGTCTAAAATATCTATAATTTTTCTGCTGATGACAGCTTTATTTATAAATCCTAATAAATTACAATAATTCTAATTATTTATATAGCGCCAACATATTCTGCACCGCTGTACAATAAAAATCAAAGCATACATTTAATTCTATCAAAACATGTATGACATATGGGAACAGTAGGTGAAGATGGCCCTGCTCAAATAAGCTCACAATCTTAAGATGCTATTGATGTACATGCCCTGCTTAGGGGTTGACAACCAAAGGCTGTTTGCATATATGTTGGTAGGGTTGCTTTAATGGTAAGAGCCATGGGTGATTGGTTCTTTAGCTCTGAACACCTTCAGGTGGCATGATGTAAGGAAGATGGAGGATGACAGAGTGTAGCGGTACTTACCCTTTCCAGGGGCCGGCCGGGGTCCTCTGTTCGAGCCGCGCGCGGTCCTGCTGCTGCACGAGCCGCGCGCGGCTCAGCCGACCGCTGTGACTAGTAGCGGTCACATGTTCCACCTACTCTAAGAGCGCGCCGCGGGTATCGGGCGCGCTCTTAAAGGGACAGTGGGTGCCTAAATTGGAAAAGGCATCCCATTGGTCCCTGTCATGCCACACTCCCCATACACTTACCTTTTGGGGGCGTGGATGTGACAGGGACCAATCAAAGTAGATGTTTAGGTATTTATACTCACCTTCTTTCCTTTGTTCCTTGCCCTATCGTGGTTTCTGTATCAGTTCCCTTTAGCGCTTGTTGTGTTCAGTTGTGTTTCTCCGTATTGACCTTGGCTTTGTTTCTGACTACGTTTTCTCTTTATCCTTATCTGTTCTGGTTGTCGGCTTGTTGTTTACTGTGTACCAGACCCCGGCTTGTCCTAGTTTACGCTGTCTCTCTGTGCCCTTGATTTCGGATTGTTCCTGACTCTGTCTCCTCTCATATACGTCGAGTCCGGCCATTCTAAGGTCCGGTAGACGTATCTCTCCTCTGTGTTGTCTTTTGTTTAGCTAAATCCTGCGTGTTGGGGTATATTCTCGTTACATTACGATAGGGCCATGGACCCCGCAGATTTGGCTCAGCAAATGGCTTCTCACGAGGCAAGGTTTGTAGAGCAGGATCACCGTATGGATCAGATAGCACAGGCTCTCCAGACGCTCTTGTCTAGAACCATTCCTGCAACCGCACCTAACCCTCCTACACCTCATCCTCCCGAAGTATCCAATTCAACCAATGCTTCGCCCCATTTAACACCTCCTCCTAGGTATGGAGGGGAAGCCAAGACATGCAGAGGTTTTATTAATCAAATAGAATTCCACCTTGAGATGTATCCTCATTCCTTTCCCACTGATAGGTCTAAAGTGGGGTTTTTGATGCATCAACTTACTGACAAAGCACTAGAGTGGGCAAATCCTATTTGGGAGGCCAATGGACCTATGGTTCATGATTTCAATAGTTTTCTTGCGGCTTTTCGTAGAACTTTTGACACAACAAAGAGGTCAAAGAATGCCGCAAGAGCATTAATGAGGATTAAACAGGGGTCTAGGTCTGTGGCGGATTATGCTATTCAGTTTCGTACCCTTGCCTCACAGGTAGATTGGACCAATAATGGGTTAACTACTGCGTTCATGGAAGGTTTATCTGACACTATATTAGATGAGGTAGCGGCAAGGGAGCTTCCTATCCCATTAGAGGATCTTATTGACTACCTCATTGATATAGATAATAGAATTCGCGACAGGCTCTATACCAAAAACAAGAATAGACGTCTGGTCACATCTATTAACCCTAGAGTTGATAAACCTGAGAGTGTTAAAGTACCTGAGGAGGAACCCATGCAATTAGGGGTTGCCAAACTCTCGGATACTGAAAAACTACTTAGAAGAAGGAATGGACTCTGCCTATACTGTGGTAGGCGAGACCATATGGTAAGGGAATGTCCTTTGCGTCCGGAAAACTCTCGCACCTAAGACCTTATAGGGGACTGGCCTTGGGTGTGATCTCTAAGTCTCCTAAATTGCCTCCTAATCGTTTGCTTCTCCCTGTTTCCCTTCATATGGGGGTGAGTTGTATAGCAGAATGCATATTAGCCTTGGTTGATTCTGGGGCTGCTGAGAACTTTATTGACTCTGAGTTTGTTACGAAAAATAACATTCCCGTCAGAGAAAGGGAGATACCCTTGGCCATTGAGGCCATAGATGGTAGACCATTAAGTTCTCCAATTGTTACTCATGAAACTGTACCATTACACATGTATACAGGGGTTTTACACTTTGAAACCATTCGATTCCAGGTTATCACATCTCCCTCTTCTCACATTGTGTTAGGGTACCCATG